AAATAGTCTTCCTTAATATTCGTTGAACAAGGATAAATATAGTATATCACGCGCATTATACATGAAATGGAAAGTACGTTAGTAAATATAAGTTTAAGTAGCAAAAAATGGCAAATTGACCTTGAAAAGGATACCTATACACTTTGAAAATCTCTGTACTGTTAATTTACCTAATCAGGTAAATTACCTAATCAATTTACTCAGTACAATTTAATCAGTTTGTGAGCAACAAATTAGAAGCACCGCCTTTAATTTAACTACAACTTTAATAATATTATTTACTGAACAATCGAATTTTTGCTTATTCTTGACGATCGAAAGCGAATATGAGTACATTACACTGTAATAAATGCTTCCTTTAAGACGCGTTCCACTCGCCATTCACATCTTACATCGCTCTTTAATTGTTTCAACTTCGTCGCAGATTTTCAAATTTTAATGCGGGACAAATAAGGCATTATAAAGTCACTAGATTCAAAAGTACCGCTACAGATGTCTATAGCGCTGCATTCGGAATAAAGTCACTAGATCTATGAAGTACTGCAAACTCGAACCCATTTTGATGCTTAACGCATCAAAACCATTTGAAAGACTCTCAGCAAAATTAGGTATTTTTTGGTCCATTTTCTGGACTTCTAATTTTGAAGCAAATTTTATGCCAAATAATTAGTCATGATGAGACATAATCGTATAAAATTTTTAAGTTTAACATATGATTGATTGATTTTCGAAATATTGGGTCATCTAAAAAGTATCCGCGGTTTCTTGTCACTAGATAGTGTTGACCATCAAGAGGATCGAAGTGGTGCCTATCGCTTAAGACAGTATACACTATTGTATTTTTATTAACCTAATATTCATGTTAAAAAATAGTCTCGACAGTATTTTAATGTTTTTTGGGTCGCTGATTACGAACGTGACATCTGAATTCTAAAATTCAAAATGGTAGATCCAATATGGCGGACTAATTTGCAAAAAGTGATCTAATGAAGTCACTTTTTGCAAATCGATCCGTCATTTTGAATTTTGAAAATCTGAGATCAGATTCATAATCAGCGACTTCGAAAATTCCGGTTTCATCCTGATCAGGTCACTTTTTGCAAATCGGTCCGCCGTTTTGAATTTTGAAATTTAGATTTCAGATTCGTAACTAGCCCAAAAAACAATAAAATACTGTCTATTTTTAACCTGAATATTAGAATAATGAAAACACAGTAGTGTCAAACATTCTCAAAGGATAGGCACAACTTTGATCCCTTATATTGAGCAAACCAGTCATGCTCAAATTAAAAATTTTATGCGATTGCCTTATCATGACTAATCATTTGGTACAAAATTTGGTTCAAAAATCGAGATCCAGAAAACGGGCGATTTTTGCGGTAGTTTTTATGTATTTGTATATACGTACTTTATTTGTGAAAAGAAGTCGTCAAATATGTAAATCAATGTTTTTTAATTGTAGTTATTTTATTTATGACCAAAAGAATATATGCGGATGTTTAATTTATGTATTTTTTATAAAGTTCTAAGCCTAAGAGTGAAATGACACGGTGTGGAAAACGACTGCGGAATAGAGAATGCGTCATAGAAGTGTTAGTCAACCAATCAGTGTTATTCTATGTTATTCCGAATGATTCCGTGTGATTTCACCCTTAAGGGGATGCTGGAGTGACTCAATTATCAACATTTCAGTTTGATAAAAATCTCTGAATTGACTAAATGGAATAAAAAATCCTTTTACTGGATTAAAATAAACGCAAGCTCCTGATGTGATGCAAATAAAAAAAAAGTTAAAAAGTTTTTCACTTTTTTTCGATTTTAGTATAACATCCACTTCACTATCAGGATTTTGCGTTTACTTTATTCCATAAAAAATTGAGTCACTCCAGCATCCTCTTAAGGGTGAAATCACACAGTGCGGAAAACGACTGTGGAATAGAAAATGCGTCATAGAAGCAACCAATCAACGTTATTTGACGCTTCTGAAATTAATATTTTAGAGTAATATTATATATTGATCTAAAATACTTGTAATATATTGGGTCATCTAAAAAGTATCCGCGGTTTTTTGTCACTAGATGTGTGTTGATGGTCATATATCTAGTGACAAAGTATCGCGGATATTTTTTAGATGACCCAATATATTACAAGTATTTTAGAGATCTAGTGACTTTAATTCGGAAACATCACCCAATTGCCCTCATATACAGGGTGGGCCATCTATTGGTACGTTTTTAAAAATGCGATCAAATGAGCATACATTGCTATTTTTTATTAATTTTTTTTTTGTTGTGAAGCTAAAAGTATCCGCGTCAAGAATGAAAAACGATTTCGTTCATGTGGCTCCCTCTACTGGCCTTACAGTATGCCATTCGGTCACCCCAATTATTAATGACATTTTGGACTACCTCGGCGCCAATTTCACTCAAAACAGTCGTAATATAATGTCATCCACTAACATCCCTTTCTCACGAACTTTCCTCACCAATTTGCGTATAGCTCCTTCGGTGGGTGCTCTATCACGACCCATATTTTTTTTCAAAATTCGTACAGTTTCGGCGATACAGCACTGACTTTGAAAATAAGTTTTTAAAATTTCAAAACGCTCTTCAAGAGAAAACATGTTGTTTCGTGCCGCGGACGGTATGACTAATAAACTGTCAAAATTTCGGGTCTGTAGCTCGTTCGGTGTTGCCATACGACGAAATTCAAAAACGTACCAATAGATGGCCCACCCTGTATCATCTTATCCTTATTTAACATTAGGCTTATTCTTTTTGGCTGAATTTTTGTAACAGTTCATCTTTCTTCCTTTTCTCTCCAAGGTATCAATTATGTATCTTTTTCTCTAGGGCGCAAAAAGTAAAAATTTTTTATATGTATATGTGTACATGTATTGCATTCAATACATGCATTCATACATAAAATTTTTCACTTTTCACGTTTTCGCTCTAGAAAAAAAGTTACATAATTAATATCTAAGAGGAAAGAAGAGGAAGAAAGATAAACTGATGCAAAAGTTCAGTCAAAAAAAGAACAGACCTATTGGATGAACAACAAGAATAAAACGATATATGGAAAGTTCGTTCGCATCGCAAGCTCTACCTTTCTCTCTCGCACAGATGTTGACGAGAGAGAAAGGTATTCTTCACCTCGGTACAGCATAGACAATTTCCCTTCCAGTAGAATGTGTTGTAAGAAATATTTAGGATACCTTCCACCGCCGAGATACTATTAAAGACTGTCGGCCCTGGGCAAATTTTCGTGACTATCAATGGGACCTGGGGGGCTTTTTCAATTATCCCGGAGATAATTGAAGAACGACGTTACCAACAATTAATAACAATTTATGATTATTAACATAAATATTTCAACTTTAAGTATCTCGTTGGTTCTCATCTAAAATTAAAAAAAAATTTATTCATTCGATACGTTTTCATTTAAGGGGATCTAAAGCCTTCTATATTATCGATTAAATCGTACACATATTAATACGTGTTTGTGAGGTGAGATTCATGCCGAGAATGATAAAAAATTTCGAAATTGAAAGCTTAAAAAAAATTCAATTTTGAAATTTTTGGTCGTCTCGGTGTTAACTTCACTTTGCAGACACTTATTAATGCGTATACTTTAATACTGGAAAAAGATTTTCAAATTTATAAAAGAGGAAAAAGTAATTATTATATATACAAAAATTATGATTAGTCGGTAATACAGACGGCTTTAAGATCTCCTTAATTATTGTCGAGAATATTCATGCTGACATGTTGCCATCAATTTGTCATCGCAAGAATTCGAATTTCATTGAGTTCAACGGCAGACGTAATGCTGTCTGATCTTATCCTAAGTTTGTCGAAATTCATGCAACGTTTTCGGGAACATGTTAGCAAATACACTACATTTGTGGGATTATTCATATAAAAAGTTTTTCGCAATTAAAGCAGAACAAGCCATTCATGTACAAAAGTTTTTTGCAATTAAAGTAGAACAATTTATAATAACATCAAAATTATCTTAAATCTATTTGTTCCACAGAATATCATAAAATACTCGTAATTAAAGAATTCTCAAATCGTTTGATCTGTTGACTGAAGTATCCAAATGTTCCTAGCTTTTTCATCTGGCGGGATACTTATTGACGTTCGAATTTTTTTATATTTTTTTATATTCTTTTATATTTTTTTATACTTTGACACTTCACCATTGGGTTTTTTAATCTTGTATGCGTTATTCTTTATTCATTAATGTGAGATTGTATTTCTGCGTTGTAACACTAAAGAAGGCTTTGTAAGCCGAAACGTCTGTTAATTACATTAATTTAAAGTTAATTTAATTATAACTCGAAATAAGCCATGACATTATGTTAATTTTTTAAGAAAATATACGAGCATTTTTTATTCCATTTTAAAATGGGATTTATCTACGTTTACAAGGGTATAACAGTAGTGGCAAAAATGTCTTATCGCATCATCATAAGTTTTTTCTACAAAGAACAAGTCACAGACCTGTATATATGAAACACCGCGAACTATTACTGCTTTTGTATTGCAAAATTATCCCCAGTCCAATCTATTTATAAAGGCACAGCAATATCTAATAACGGCTACAGAGCAATAATATTTACAAGTGATAATTTACTTGATTATATGGCAACAACCACGAAAATTTATAATACATAGATGGTACATTTTCAGTGAGTAATGTTCTTAATTAAAAATATGATATTATTTTATATAAAGTATTTTATGTAAAGTTCTACATCAGTTGCAACAAGCTTGTGATCAACTTATCAATGACTAATGTAGAACTAGCCTAAGAACTATTACAATACAATAAAAATAATACAGAAGGGATACTGAAATTTGTCACTTGCTGAAAATATATTTATATATTTGTATATTTAGGTTGTTGCCAGAACACTGTCCTTTGCGCAATTATATACTAATTATATTGGGTCATTTAAAAAGTATCCGCGGTTTTTTCATTCAAAAATTGAACAAAAAACCGCGGATACTTTTTAAATGACCTAATATAAGATACATGGACGCGATAAGGTGATTGTAAAATGCTATAAAATTTACAAATTTGATAGCTTTATAATTATTTCTTTGTAACATATTTTAGTAACAATTAATGTCAAAAGATTTCTAAACATTATATTTAATTATTGTTTACATAATATAAACAATTTCACACTTCTAAACATTAATTTGTTTTTTATTTATTAGGATATAGCTATCCTCTTCATATTGTGTGAGAAATATATACTGGATTTGTACAGTGTAATTTGGCAAAAAGTGAAAGAAGTCAGTCCGGATGCGCTGCAAAGAATACAATTGATTGTCAGTGATTATGAATATGCGGCTATGAAGGCTGTAAGGGAGATCTTCCCAGAAGCACAACTAATCGACTATTGATTTCATTTCAGTCAGGTGTGTATATAATATCTGATATAGAATAACAAAGAATTTAGAAATGTATATACTATTGTATATTTTTTATAAAACTATTTATTGTTACATAATCCACAATTATTTTTTGATTATTGTTTGATCTTTTATATAGATCGTTCTAAAATGTTAGAACGTCCTATTAACGGTAGCACCTAGAAAAGTTCTCGACCTTACTATGGCCTTATCGTTAACACAAGCCGATGCGTTCGAAACAGGATTACAAATAATTCAAGAAGTTGATATGACATCTATAGAATATTGGACTGTGTTACAATTCACGTACTTGGTTTCCTTTGAAACAATATGTCTCCGTATTTGGCATGCCTAAACGGATGAACAATTTTGCGGAGTTTCCACAATACGAATTTTCACAAATTTAATGGAATTCATCCCTATATTTGGCAATTTTTTCGTATGTATTGCTTATTATCGCAATAAATTGTAAATCTCGAGCGTGTAATATCGATACATTTTATTAATATAATTTGTTTATCCTTTTGTAAATAATTTAGATGAATTAGTAATCGATTAAAAGACAAATATTGCAAGGTTAACAGAAGGACATAATGTAAAGATAACATGCATACGTAAAGATATCATGCATGACATAAGTAATAAATACATTACAGAAGCACAAACCCGTTTGGGAAAGTAAATCATATTTTCTTTTTAAGCAGATTTATTGAATTATTTTTATGAAAAAAATAGCGTATTTACGATTTCTTCATTACTATTTTTCTGAATTTCATATATTATTAAATTATTATTACAATTTTTCAATACGGTTTAGCTTACATAATTTTTATTGTTTTTATAGATATTCTTTGGAGTTTCTCTGATCGCTCAGCAACTCGAAGAGAGAATTTTGGTTAGTTCTATGACATCTTCTCTATTCCGCAGTCGTTTTCCGCACCATATGATTTCACCCTAATTCACAATACATAAAGTATAAGAAATATATAAAGTATATGAACCAATCAAAATTCTTTATTTCCTTCCTTTTCATAAAATAAAGGACTCTGATTGGTTAATTTTCTTATGCTTCATGTTTTATGCGTTATGCAAAAGTCTGTGCTCCTCGCTTTATCTATATACCTCGGTATATCTACACAACTTGCACAAATGCATAAACATATGCATAAAGAAAATTATCCAATCACATTTTATGTGTGCCTTTATAAGAGAAATGCGATTGGATAATTTTATCGCATTTTGTTTATGCGGTTATGCAAGTTGTGTGGATATATCATAGGCCGTGGTCCGATTCATACTAACAACGCTCATGAACATCGTTTGTCTTCGTTTAATATTTGACAAACAACAAGGATGAAATGATTTTTAAGTGTTGTGAGTGTAAATCGGACCGCAGCCCTAAGAGTAAAATCACATGGTGCGGAAAAGGACTGCGGAATAGAGAATGCGTCATTGAAACAATCAATCAGCGCTATTTCGCACTTTTCCATCACGCAAGTTTTGTGTGCTATGTTCACATAATGCGTCAAAGATGTATCCAGCATGAATATAATTTAAAAACTACTAACTTCATGTTAATAATTTGCTTATTAAAATGAAATATAATTTTTCATATTGTAAAAATAATTATCACATTTAATGTTTTATAATTAATATTTATAATCTCATAACAATTTTTTAAACTGCTTTAACGTATTTACTATCATTTTTTCATTGTGTGAACATAGCACACAAACTGACGTGATGGAAAAGTGCGGAAAAAGGCACACTGAAATCGCATGTAATACATCATTGTTTTTTTGATATTGGTATCTACATTTATGCACTCATTTTGTCATTTTGCTTTATTCGTCTCGACATTACGCAATTCCATCATATCAATCAGCATTAAATTATTTTAACCTCTCAAAATACGACGGTTTATTATAAGAACAATGACGCATTCTCTATTCCGCAATCCTATTCCACACTGTGTGATTTCACCCTATGTCCATTCCACACAACTTGCATAGCCACATAAAGATATCATCCAATCATATTTTACGTTTGCTTTATGACAGAAATGTGATTGGATATTTTTCTTTATGCGGCTATGCCAGTTGTGTGGAATGACCCTAAAGAACTTCACACATGAAATGCATAACAGAGCATAAGGCCGTTAAACCAATGAGCATCTATATAAATCAATATGGCGACATTATGCTAGATGCTCATTGGCCGAACAGTCTTATGTTTATGCTCTGTTATGCATTTCATGTGTGAAGCCCTTAAGGGCCACTACACACCAAGCATTGTTCGTTTTGTCTCTCGGGAGTTGCTCGGGATCACTCGAAATGAATTCAGCGTAGGAGTGTTGAAATGTAGGATTACACTATGTACACACTATGCAAGTTATGTGGATATACCCTTAACGTATTACGTATTCTCCACTCGGAATGAATGACAATGTGATGTGAGCGCGTGCGACAGCTTTATTTTGACAAAAATAAAGGTGATTGAGAATTGAAAAGAAATCAAGAAGAATATCTCAAGAATTGATCTCAATAGTGACCAACTTTTATGATTAATATATCATTTTAACGGCAGGTTCGCACTTTTTTCTTTCAGATTCTTTCATTTCGTGCAAAATCGCGTCGAATGAACATAATTTCATCGAAATGAAACGAAGGTGAGAGGTGTGTTCTGAATAATCATCGAAGAAAAAATATATTGTCTCATCCAGCATCAAAGGTTGGGATTTGGGATTGATGCAAGTTTATACTCGTGGTGAGTAGTTAATTATCTCGTCTGAAGCGCGCGCGATAGTTGATTTCTTTTTTTTTTTATTTTTCGACGCTAGTATTTTTCGCGATTGTACTTTTCTCTCGTTTCGTAATAATTATGATCTACAAAAATGTTCTCGCTCTCGACGCATTACCTATCGTCGCGTTGCATATAGGTTAAGAAAAGAAAGGAGTGCGCTTGAAAATGATCAAAATATTAATATTAATTTGTTAAATTCAAATTTTTAGAGAAAAATTAATTTATATTGTTTCTTATGCATTTCAAGTTATATATACAATTTTGAACATGTCTAATCTAATTTCTAAAAAACGAGATTGGAGATTGAACATATGTCCTGATTCTGTAACTCTTACTGACAATTCATCAGTATCATTACATCGTTTTCGTTCAGTTTCTTTTGTATACAAGATATCCCACCTTTACTGCATATCCTCTTAAAAACACATTTTTGAGAGATCACCTTTACATTTATCACACTGTTATGCCACTGTTATGAGCGCATTGTCCTATCTGTATCTATATATATATATATATATATTAGGTATATGACTTTGCTCATTCGGTTTTCGTATAGATGGCTTTAGCGGTAAGTGGTGATCGAAATAAATAGATCATAGACGTCACACAATAAACTTGGGCATCTGTCAACATAATCCCATAGAAACATAGTCGATTTGTGTCTGCATCATAAAGTTATTCTCGATTGAAAATCAGTTTACGAGCCAAATTCTTGTCATTTGCGGAAGGTTTTAATTTTCTGCTTCAATATGAAGAAATCTGCGGCTGAGGCTCATCGAATGCTTTAATAAAATATTTATGGTGAAGCCGCTATTAGTGAAAGAACGTGTCATAAGTGGTTTCAACACTTCAAGAACGGTGATTTTCACGTCGAAGACCAGCATAGCGGTGAAAGAGAGATTTTCGAAGATGCAGAATTGAAGGCATTACGTGATCAAAACTCTTATCAAAATCAAAAAGAATTGGCACGATCATTAGGAGTGACTCAATCAGCCATTTCAAAACGTCTCAAAGCCATGGGAATGATTCAGAAGGATCAGGCAAGGAAATTGGGTGCCGTACGAGTTGAAGCCGAGAGATGTTGAACGACGTTTGTTTGCTTGTGAACAGCTGCTTGAAAGGCAAAGACGGAAGGTTTTTCTGCATCGCATTGTGACTGGGGACGAAAAATGGGTTCATTACGATAATCCCAAGCGCAGAAAATCATGGGGAGTTCCCGGCCGTGCTTCCATGTCGACGGCCAAACCGAATATTCATGGCTCCAAGATCATGC